CCACTTCCCAGAGAAGTCGAGAGAGCGTTATTTATTTACTTGTTTTTGGTGAGAAAAAAATAAAAACATCACATTCGCAGTATTTAGACTCTATATGCCTTTGGCTAAAGACGAGGAGGGCTTTAAACAGTGAATTCCCGTGAGAAGGCTACCTTTTCGCAGAGACCTAGGATTCTAGAACTGAACAAATCAGAAATCCATGGAACGTGAGAGCTCACTATTGGAGAAGCTTTTTACGAGAAGTAGGGAAGGTTAGAATAAATCCCTATAGCGTACGACTGAGGTTGACATTATCAGTAGGAACCTATGGTTTGTAATACGTAGAGATAGATATAAAAGCAGATATAGATGTGTGTGGTCTCTCTCCACACACACACACACGCACGCACACACATGCAGACGCACGCACTCCACACAAACACACACACACACACACACGCACACGCACACACAGACACACACGCACTCCACACAGGTACGTGTAACATATGGTGTTAATTATCTATTGCTTAACAGGACAAATTGCACCAAAACTTGGTGGCTTAAAACAACACGTGTTTATTGCCTCACAGTGTCCGTGGCCCAGGACGTGGCTGGGCTTAGCCGGGAGCTTTTGAGTCGCGTCTCCACGAGGACCCAGTCCAGCCGCGGCTGGGGCTGTGGCCTCATCCGGAATGAGGCTGCAAAGGATCCGCTGGGTGGCTCTCGGTGCGGCGTGTACACTCGAGGGCCTGAGTCAGAAATCCTGTCCCTCAAAGTGCCCCGATGTTTTTTGGGGGGCCTGCATCTTGCAATCAGAATGAGAATCACAGGGCTGGTCCAGCCACAGCATTGGCCCCTGAGGGGCATCGGTGATACAGGCCTCGGGCATCCTTAGCCGAGAGCATCACCACGAACAGGCCAGGACCAATGTGCAGCTACACAGGCGCAAATGTCAGGAGGCTGGGACCACGGGGGTCGCATGCCCACCATGCATACATGTGTGTGTCTTATGCATGTACAGTCAGTCATACATTTCCTGGCTCTGCCCCCTGACAAGGCCTAGCGGCAGTAACGCTCCAGTTGCAGGGAATTTACTCAGTGCCCAAATATTGGTGTCTGAGTAGCGTTCTCCCCTAAGAGGACCCGGGGCTCCCTGGAGGGATGCCTGGGTCCAGGACTGCTGCAGAAGAAGTGTGAGGAGAGCCTGGGTCATCTCCTGCCAGGAAGCAAGGACGTGTTTTCTTCTGACGTGGGAACTTATTGAAAGAACACGGAAGCCACTTCGAAGGGGCTCCCACGGCTTCGTCTCGGATAATTTGAGCATGAAAATCAGTGATCGTGAGGAAGAATTGTAACCCTTTCACTGAAGTAAGGACCCATGAATCCACACTGAGATAAATCCACCTGTATGTAAATATGTAGGGGAGATGGGAAGTCACCTGATAAATGCAGAAGGAGTGATTGCATTTGGAAAAGAATTGGAAAATCACCCTTTGGCAACCATCAAGAATCGTTTACAAATGCTACAGCGGGCGGAAGTCTGAAGAGTAATAGTACACGTATATAATCTCAAAGGATCTCCCGTAGACACTCGTTACTTCCAAAAAAAGGAGAAGTTAGCAACTTGACTTAGTGGCGGACTCTGGTGAACACCACCTAAAACAAAGTGCGCATCACCAGGAACGGAGCAAATATTCCCCATGAGCTTCCGGATAAAATGCACTAAGATCAAAAATTTCAAAAACGCCTCACCTGAATCTAATCAAAAGGAAACGTCGCACAACCCAAATTAAGAGGCATTCTACAAAATAACTGACCGATACTCTTCAAAAATTGTCAAGGGCGTGAAAGACAAGGGCAGGCTGGGGAATGGTTCTAGAGACATGACCATGGAATGCCCTTGGATCTTAGGCCCCGCCTCCTGGGCCAGTGTAAGTCCCGCTCCATAGGCTCTCGGTCTCAGCCCCACCCGCTCCCTGTCTGAGCCCAGCCCCATCCACCCTATTGGCCCTTCCGCTAAGCCCCTCCCACTGCTCCCTGTCTAAGCCCCACCCCATCCACCCTATTGGCCCTTCCGCTAAACCCCTCCCACTGCTCCCTGTCTAAGCCCTGCCCCCTACCTGCCTCACAGGCCCTCCCTCTCAGCCCCCTCCAGTAAGAATCCAGCAGGTGGTTCTTCTCAGAGTAATGAGCACCGGGCCTTGCTCACAGCTGGGGACACCAGCAGCAGCTGGGTCCTCGGCCCATCCCAGGCTCGACCCACTTTGCTCTGCTGCACTGAAAATCCATTATTTTTTCTAATAAAAAAGTGAGCATGTGACTGACATACTTCCCCGGGAGCAAAAATCCTTTGCTTTAGTAATAGCTATTGATTTTTTACAGTTTACTTAAGAAGAATATCCTCAGTTCAAAATTCCGAGTTATTGCCGAGTCTCCAGAAATGTTCTAGAATCTTCTGAGGACAAGGAGGTCCAAGAGCCGCTCTGCCTGAAATCTTTTTTGAGGAAGCAAGACATGCAAATCAGCCCGTGCAGTGTTCCAGGCTCTGTTCAAATGTCCCCCCTTCAGGGGACTCCCCGTCTCCCCCCAGCCCTGCTTCCTGTCCTTCATACACTTCATCCCGCTGAACTCGCCCCCCCACTTCTGTCCTCCCACAGAAGCCACTGCAGCCCCGCTCAGTTCTCTGCTGTGTCCCCAGTGCCTCCGGGAGTGCCTGGCAGAGGGGATGGGCTCGCCCTCCAGCAATGACTCCGTGAAGAAGTAAACCGCTCAGATGGAATGTCGCCAGGGCTGCCTCCAGCCCTTATCAACACCGCCTGCAGCGGCCTTGGGCCTCGGCCTCCGGCCACCCAGCAGTGCTCACCAGGGCGGTCACCAGGTCTCGGCTCAGCCCCCTGAGTGGCTGCTGAGAGGCACCGGTGCAGGTGAAAGGTGGCTGTGTGGAGGACTGCTTAGTCAAACACCCTTCCGTCCCTGCCGGCACGCACGCGGGGCTGAGTGATGCCAAAGTAATGACGGGGGGCCGGGGACCCTGCAGAGCGCGACAGGAAACCAGAGCCGCCTGTGGCTCATTTACAGACACTTTAGATCCTCCACCCACCTGAGGATAGATGCTCTCCATTCACCTGTCGGAAATGGTGATTCTGAACACCTTGGGGCATGATAATAGGAACGAACGCTGGCCCTGGGGAAGCAAAC